GCGCCGCCGCGGAGTACATGAGCTACCAGCAGAAGAACATCATCTTCGGGCCGTACGGCCCGTACTGGCGGGACATGCGGAAGATCTGCACGTTGGAGCTGCTGAGCAGTCTCAGGATCAGTCAATTTCAGGCCATGAGGGCGGCGGAGCTCCGCCTGATGGTGGATTCGCTGAAACAGGCGGCGGAATTGGGGGAAATTGTGGATCTCAGCGCTAGGGTTTCGGGGGTCAATGGCGATATGAATTGCCTGATGATTTTTGGGAGGAAATATGCAGATGAGGATTTTGACGAGAAGGGGTTTAAAGCTGTGTTCACGGAGGTGGTGGAGATGAGTGCGAAATTCAATCTGGCCGATTATTTTCCGTATATCGGTGTGCTTGATTTGCAGGGGATGAATCGTCGGATGAAGGAATTGAGCAAGATTTTCGATGGATTTTTGGAGAAAATAATCGACGAACATTTGCAGGAGAAGCCGGAGAAGAAGGAGACTAAGGACTTTGTTGATACTATGATGGCGGTTATGGAGTCTGGTGAAGCTGGATTCGAATTCGATCGCCGCCATGTCAAGGCAGTTCTACTGGTAACATTTTTTTATTTATGTCTTTTTTTTTTTAAATCGAATTTGGTGTTGTATTGGATTGATCGGATCGGATTGGATTGTTAAAAAAAATGAAAATGTCGAAAAGCAAAATTTTGGAAATTGTAATGAAAGAATTTGTTTCAAAATCGAAAATTTTCGGATTGAAAATGGCGGAATTGGAAATTTCCATTTTGGAAATATATCGGAATATTCAGTAATTTAAATCAGAATCTAATATATATTCGAGTTCAGTTCTGAAAAAGTTGGGAAAATTTGGAAATCAGAACTTTAAAAAAAAATCGATTGAAATTTGCGGAATTCGGAAATTTCTTTCCAATTTCCATACTTATGTCCAAGTAATATTTATAATCCCTTTTGTTCAGGATTTGCTTGTAGCAGGAATGGACACGTCATCAACAGCAGTGGAATGGGCAATATCGGAACTCATAAGGCATCCCCGAGTAATGAAGAAACTCCAAAACGAACTAGAATCGACGGTCGGGATTGACCGAACAGTCGAAGAGTCACATCTCAACAAACTCGAGTACCTAGACTCGGTCGTGAAGGAAACCCTTCGCCTCCATCCAGTCGTTCCTTTATTAGTCCCCCACGAGTCTATGGAAGATTGTACTATCGACGGATACCACATACCGAAAAAATCGCGGGCCATAGTGAACATGTGGGCCATAGGTAGAGATCCTAGCGTGTGGGCCCACCCAGAGACCTTCTCGCCCGAGAGGTTTTCGGGCAGCGGTATAGACTTGAGGGGCCGCGATTTTCAACTCGTACCGTTTGGTTCGGGCAGGAGGACCTGCCCCGCGCTGCAACTAGGGGTTGTATTGGTTAAGTTGGTTTTGGCGCAGTTGGTGCATTGCTTCGATTGGGAGCTTCCGAACGGGATGCTGCCGTGTGATCTTGATATGTCGGAGCATTTTGGTTTAGTGACTTCTCGAGCTGAACATATTATGGCGATTCCGAAGTACCGATTGACTGCGTGAAATAATTTTACTTATAATTCGTATGTGGAATATTTTCAAGTTCTTACACGAGGTACTTGAGTATCTGTATTAAATAACCACCACTGGTTTGTATTTAAGGTGGCAGAATTGTTACGATAGTAGACCAAAATTCTCGCTTTTGTATATGAAATACAATAATTTATACTAAATATTTATTATATATATTTTCAGTCATTTATGAGAATCTTAATTTGTAAATTTATTTATTAATTGTATTAATATAAAAACTAATATACATATATATATTTGAATGCAATTAACTTTATAACTTCATTAATTCAGCAATTAAAAGTACAAATACAAGCTTTTACAATGCAATTATAACAATAACATTGACCATCCATTGTAAGCAATATATAAAAGTTTGAATTATTATTTTGTTATATATAGCATTATTAAATTATATATATTCTAAGCCTTGGATGCAAATTTAGGAGAGATTGGACGGCCTAGATTAACCTTGGGTTTCTTTCTTACCATGCACTTGCATGGACAGCATTTCTTGCCACCATACTTTAGTGGTTGCATAAGGGCCGGGCCGGCCGGCGTAGGATGAGGTTCCGGTGGTCCGGCGGCGGCAGTGGCGCAGAGTCCCCAACCGCTATATCGGTGTTTGCACTCATTTTTACACACGTTTATGGTCACCGTGCAACCGATAAATTTGTTAGTCATCTGAGGCTCCGCGAATGTCACACCTGCAAAATACGAGAAAATTCGGGTTATTATTTAATTTTTTTTTTTAAAATCAACCAACATTATTATATTACAATACATAAAACATAGAAAATATTTTAATTGCCTTATAAATAAAAAAGTGAGACCTATAAAATAGATGAAAAGAATGACTAGAACAGAAAACTTGAGTTGTGTCTTTGCCATATTCTTCTTGATGCAATATAAAAATAAATTATTATTATTATTATTTATTTTTATTTGTTATTATTTATATAAAGTAAATAAAAAGAAGTGAGAAAACGTATGTTATGTTGGCCTATTTATAAGGTGATGAATGTTAATGGTTTCTTCCAGGAATATTAATTGCCTTGAAAAGTAAAGCATTTGCATTTTAGTCCTTATTGTAGATAGAGAAGCATTTATGTTTTCAATCTATGTAATTGTGAGGATCATGGGGATAAAATCAACATTAATTTTGTTATTATCCAATATATATATTTATATTTATTTCAAGATGGGAGTTTTATTTATTTTATTTATTTTTTTTTCAAATTCAAGCAAGCACACATAATTTTGTTCTTTCTTCCTTTTTTGTTTTTTTTTTTTTTTTTTTATGAAATTAAAGCTCCATTTTAAAAAAGTATACAAAAATTCTATGAACACATGTCGTATTTATTTGTGTAAAGTTCGACCAAAATAAATTTAAACTACAGTAAAACCTCGATAAAATAATTATAACATCGGTTAAATAATAATTTCTTTATGATCCCGATTCGATGACAATGTTCTAAAGTATTAATACGATAATTGAATCTTCCACTAAATTAATAGAAATTCACTAGTCCCAATTGTATTAATTTATAAATGTTTAACTTTAAAATTAACTATTTTACTCGGTACATTTCTTCCAAACAACATGTATTAGTTTCATTGTGATTTATAAGTCTAAATTACTCATATTAATTAATTTTCACTTAGAGCTCGTTTGGTTAAACTTATTTTAAACAACCGATAAGGCGATAACAATTAACAACTAGCGGGTAACAAACGATTTAGCTCTACTTTTTTTTTTTTAATTGAAAGCCAATTTACGAAGAAACATTAATTAATAAAGGAACTACAAAGTTTAATTCTCTTAATGAGCTAATTAGTATCAAGTTTTCTTGTAAAAAATAAAATAAAATAAAATTGTATGTGTTTATTTTTTGGAATATATGAAAAATCGATTTATTTTCGATTAATTCTCTTAATGAAAAATCGATTTATTTCCAATTATCGTGTGGCGGTTATATGTAATATATATTTATGATTGCGAAGTAGTTTGCAGATGGGTCATTGACATATATAGTGATCAATTAGTGAATCCCATATAAAATAAACGAAATGTAGTAATCGTTCGAACTTTCGAATTAATTATAATTAATTTTGCAACAATAATACAATATATTGATGTAGCAAATGAAACTAATTAGAAACACCTTTTATTTTAAATAAAATACTAGTAATTGACATAGCCACTATTTTATTAGATTTGTAGCATTTCTACTTCTTCTTGTATGTGCACTTGCAATTGCATCTACATTTTCTCGCAGCAGCATTTAGCTTAGCTGGCTGCAAAAGGGCGGGATGTGGTGGTGCCGCCACCGGACCGGCGGTGACACATTCTGCTCGGCCACCAAATCCAAATCGTGATTTGCACTTCGTTTCACAGACATTTATGGTGACCGTACAACCCTTGAACTCGTTAACCATTTGAGATTCAGCGAGTGAATCACCTGTTAAAATAAATAAATATGAATTAATAATAAAAAAAAAAACCATTATTTCAAGAAAAAAAGTTCATGTTTAAAAAATGTAATTGAAAATATATCAATACATTTAAATTTATTTCTTTATATTTTTTTTAGTCGAAATTAAAACTACAAACGAAGAACAAGAACTATACCTATGAAGAGGATGAAGAAAAAGATGAGAATGGGAAATGCAGTTTGTATCTTTGTCATTTTTATGGTGCAATAATTAAAATAAAACCAACAATTTATTTTATTTTATTTTCGTTGCAAAAAAAATGTTAAGTTTACCTATTTATAATATGTTTGCCCTTTAGTTTTTGTGATTAAAAGCAAATTAGAGATAGGATTGCACTTAACTAAGTTTTCAACCATGCAGATAAGTTCGCCATTAATTTTGTTATGATCTGGTTGACATTTTTTTTTATTTTTCTTATTGTTTCGTACTAATTATAATTGTTCGACAGCTCCCGAGCCAGCTCACTAACTTCTTATTTAATTATTTTAATATTTTTCATAGACATCACAATCTTTCTCATTTATTTCATCGTTCAATAATTGAACTTCAATTCAAACAACTCAGGAACTTTTATTTATTATTTAATATTTATTTTATATATTATACAAAAAAATTATCATTATTATTTTATTATTTAAAGCTCGAGTTGAGTTCGAGCTTATCGAAACTCATGCAAACTCAAGTTCAAGCCAAAAAATTTCAACTCATCAGGCTCGAGTACGAATAGTCGAGCTCGAGCCTGCCAAATTATGCAAGCTCGGCTCGTTCACACCCCTGCCACAGCTCGTTTGCAAATAAAAAAAGTGTAACTAAAAAAACATAAAAACATGGATTAAAATATATATATTTATTTTTTAATACATGTCATGCGTAACATGCATTAAAAATATAAAATATATATTTATTTAGAAGAGCATCAAAAATAGTGGACTTTCTCATTTATTTAATCAATTGCTGGATTTTAAAAAGATTTTTCCTCGACATCACAATCTTTCTCAATTGTATTTATTCGTTCAATAATTGAACCTTCAATTCAAACAATTAATTTCATTTTAATCCTTTAATATATTTTATTTTTAATAATAATAATAATATATAAAAATAAACCGATATAAAAGTGTATACATCTCTTCTCTGCTATTTTCTGATTGACAAAAATGGCGGGAATTTGGGCAGCACTCTCTGCGATTGCATTCGTTTATCTTCTTCTTCAACAACTGCTCAAAAACCTGTCAATGAAGAAAAAATCGCCGCCGAGCCCGTTCGGGCTTCCGATTATAGGCCATTTACACCTCCTGGGGAAGAACCCCCACCAGGATCTGCACCGCCTGGCCCGGAAGCACGGCCCGATCATGGGGTTCCGGCTCGGATTCGTCCCGGCCGTCGTCGTCTCCTCCCCCGCCGCGGCGGAGCTAATCCTGAAAACGCACGACGCCGTATTCGCCAGCAGGCCGAAGATCATCGCCGTCGACTCCGTGAGCTACGAGCAGAGGAACCTCGTCTTCGCGGCGCACGGGCCGTACTGGCGCAACATGAGGAGGCTCTGCACGTCGGAGCTTCTGAACGCCGCCAGGATCGCCCAATTCCAGGCGGCGAGGCGCGCGGAGGTCCGCCTGCTTGTGACCTCGCTGAAATCGGCGGCGGAATTGGGGGAAATTGTGGATCTGAGCGCTAGGGTTACGGGATTGAGCGCCGACATGAATTGTGTGATGGTGTTTGGGAGAAAATACGATGACAGTGATTTGGGGGAGATGGGGTTTAAATCTGTGTTCATGGAGACCGCCGAGATTAGTGCGAAATTCAATCTGGCCGATTATTTTCCGTTTATTGGTGCGCTTGATTTGCAGGGGTTGAATAGTCGGATCAAGGAATTGGGCAAGGTTTTCGACGGATTTCTCGAGAAAATAATCGACGACCATTTGCAGGAGAAGCCGGAGAAGAAGGAGACTAAGGACTTCGTTGATACAATGATGGCGGTTATGAACTCCGGCGAAGCTGGATTCGAATTCGATCGCCGCCATGTCAAAGCCGTTTTACAAGTTAGTTTATACTTTATATACATCTATGCACTAACCTCGTACGTTCGATTCATTGGGTTTGAGTACTGGTTTCGAGTTTTTTGGTGTTTTCGATTTGCATATTAAGAAAAAAAAAAATCGATTCTCAAGTTTTGAACGGTCGAGCAACATCGTCCAATACAGTTAAACCTCTGCAAATTAATACAGTCGGGATTAGCAAAATTTTATTAATTTAGCAAAATATTAAATTATTGAACTTATAATTTAATAGGTTTTTACTGAGTGAGGATCAGAAGAAATTATTATTTAAGCAAGGTTACTAATTTATCGAATATTAATTTATCGAGGTTCTACTGTAATTGCCATAAAATTTCTCTTTAATTTGTTTTTTTTTTACTTGTATGCATATACATTTTTCATGTATCTAGTAATTTCCAAGAAAAAACTACGGTTCATGATTTTCTATTCGATTTGCGATTTTACAAACTAATTATATTGAAAAATACGCAAAATGGAAAAAAATTTAAATATTTTCGTCTTGTTCAGGATATGCTCATTGCAGGAACAGACACTTCATCAACATCAGTCGAATGGGCAATATCGGAACTCATAAGGCATCCGTCCATAATGAAGAAACTCCAGAAAGAACTAGAGTCAACAGTCGGGTTAAACCACATGGTCGAAGAATCACATCTCGAAAAACTCGAGTACCTAGACTTTGTCGTAAAGGAAACCCTACGCCTCCATCCGCCAGCTCCCCTTCTAATCCCTCGCGAGTCCATGGAAGACTGCACCATCAATGGAATATTCCATATACCGAAAAAATCGCGAGCCATAGTCAATGTGTGGGCCATCGGTCGAGACCCTAGTGCGTGGGCCAACCCTGAGACCTTCTGGCCCGAGAGATTTGCGGGTAGCGATGTAGATTCTAGGGGCCGCGATTTTCAGCTCATACCGTTTGGTTCGGGCAGGAGGAGCTGCCCCGGGCAGCAATTAGGGTTGACTGTGGTCAAGTTGATGTTGGCTCAGTTGGTGCATTGCTTCGATTGGGAGCTTCCGAATGGAATGTTGCCAAGCGATCTCGATATGTCCGAGCACTTTGGTGTTGTTATGTCTAGAGCCGAGCATCTTATGTTGATTCCAAAGTATCGATTAATTGCGTGAAATGTTTATTTGATACGGAAAATTTATTAACAATAAGTACGTGTAAGTACGTACACTTGTTTTTGGTTTCGATTAAAGCCCATCAGTTCAAATTTCGATCGTTTTTACTTGGACTCGTTTACACGTTCTTGTGTATAAGTGATGCGAAACAAGCTTTTTTTTCTGAAGCGAAACGATGAAACTCGAAAATGTCGACAACTTTGCTTATGTGCGCCATATTCGAAAAAGGACAATTTAGACATTTCACTAAAAAAAGCTAAAACTTAAAATGCATCTGCAAACACATCAATTTCTTATAAAAAATATTTCGAACACGTACGAAATAATGTAAACGAAATAAAATACTCGACCGCGACTAATTCTTTCTTTTTATTTTATTTTATTTTGTGTATCCCATTTCTAGGCCTTGGAAGCAAGTTCGTATGCGCGAGGCGCTTTACAATCCGGGCACCTCGGTTTGAAGCATTGGCAAAGGCAGATTTTCTTGATCCAATCCGATATCTTAGTCGGCTGCATAACAGCATCGGCCGATGGCGCAGCGACGCACTTTGCTTGTACCCCGTTTCGTGCTTTGCACTTTTCGTTACACTCGTTTATGTTCGCCGTCCGACCAATTATTTCGCCGGGGTTTTCAGTTTTTGCGAGTACTTCACCTATTCAAAAGATACAAACGAGTGAGGATAAACGAGATAACGCGTTTAAATATAGAAAAATAATTGAATTAACTTTTCTTATTAGTCAATAATATCATAGAGTATATAATAAAAATTAATTGAAGATAAATAATATTAATAATGAGTGAAACCTATGCAAAAGATGAAGAGGAAGATGAGAACAGAAAATCTAATAATTTGTGCCTTAGCCATATTTAGGAGTGCAAAATATAAAATAAGAAAACAAAAACTAATTGGTGTTGGGCAATTTAAGCTTGATAAATATATCACTGGGCCGGGTCACCGGCCGTTATTTGTTTTATTTTTTTTTTTTTTTGATTTTTTTTTTTTTTTAAATCCGGGTGAACCGCCTGACCGGCCCGACGGTTCACGGTTCACCAATTCATAGAACCGGACCCATCCCGGGGACGACGGGCCGGTTCACGGGTTCCGGGCCGGTTCACCGGTCAACGGTTCGGGCCGGTTCGTCAATGGGCCGGGTCCGGGCCAAAACGGTTGACCAACGGTCGACAGTGTTGATATTTTATTTTCTAGCAAATTATCCCATAACAGGGTACCAAAAGCGACAACAGCGGAGTAGTGGATTGAATTTGGAATGGGAACCGGGTTCACCGTTCGTGACTATTGTGCTAGAGCTGAAGTCGAAGTCAATTTTCGAAGTGTTTGATTTTCCTATTTATTTTATTTTATTTTAAATTTCAACTAGGCAGTAACGAAGTCGTTGTTTTAGCCATTTTGTTTGTTTGTATTTAAATTTAAATTAAACACACCATTCTGGGCAAATATTCAATTTTCAGTCGGGTTCCGATTTTATAATTCTGCCGGCCAATCCAAACAATTAGACAATTGTTTCGCGGTTCAACCAGCCGTTCCGATGCACATTTCAAATCATTGCTTAAAATTAATTCTGCATATAGTTTGCAAACACTTCCAACTTTTAAAAATAAGTTAAATTATTTCGGTGTTTTGTATAATCACTAAACAAACACCAACTAAATCATCAGCCTGCATGCAAGAGGCTATTTACACTCCGGGCACCTCTTGAGGCATCCGCAAAGGCAATATTTCTTGATAAAATCTTTTATCTTATTATTTGGCTCCATAAGACCCACGCTCGACTGCAAGCATACTCCGTGGGACCCTTTGTGTGCCTTGCACTTTACGTTACACTCGTCTTTGTTCGCCGTACGACCAATCTTGATTACGATGGGCTTCTGAGTCACTGCGAGTACTTCACCTATACAACGAGTTAAAAAACGGGTTAATTATCGTATTATCTTGGTATTAGTCAATAGACATATGTCAAATAAATTTGGAATACATCGCTATTCTCATGTTTTGATTTCATTATTGTTATTTTTTTCTTTTTTTGTAATTAAGCAACCTGCAACCAACTATAAGTAAACCTACACTCTCGTATGATAGCTTGCAAATCGTACGAGAGACGTAAATTTACTGTTATTTTTAAATTTATATTTATTTTATTTTTAATAGAAGCAAAATAATGATGATGAGTGAAACCTATGCTGAAGATGAAGAGGATGACAAGAACAGAAAATCCAATTTGTGCCTTAGCCATATTTTGAGGGTGCAATATTGGTGATGTGGGAGATGATGTTCAAGTTTGCCTATTTATAAGCTGAATAATAATAAATATATTGCAATCCATTATTATTACAGATAAGATGATTTTATGTTTTTTTTTTCTTTTCAAATTTGCAGATAATATCATTATTAAATTAGTATGTGACTTGCTATGTACTAAACAAATGCATTAAATTCTTTTACCACTATTTGGTGAGCTGGAGTGCAAGCTCGTTTTACTTATGCCTTTTATATTAATATTATTTAGTTTTTTCTTTTTCTTTTATTATTATTTATTTTTATTATATTAATAAAATTAAGAATAAACATGTAAAAATGTATACAGATTGATAATTGTGACATGTGATGTAGAAATTGAAATTAGAACATTAAGGCCTCATTTGATTGAGGAGATAAGCCATGATTAATTAAATAATTAACGTCCCAAAGTCCAATAAAATAATTAGATTTTCATTAGATTATTTAGTCTTATTTTAGTTAATTTTATCTTGACAACCAAACATAGCCTTAATCATTCAACTTATTTCTTTTTGTTTTTCGGTTGTCCCAATATTAAGCCTTGGAAGCCTTCGAGTTATGTTCGCTACAATTCAATTCTGATACATAGCTCGTAAAATAAAGGTCCAAAACACGAGCCATTTACATGTTTTCATTTTTTTCCAAAAAAAAAAACTAAATTTCAATAGAAAAAACTGATTCAATCATCAACGACTGATCGGAGTATGCATTCTTTCAACGATTCTGTTCACAGCTTCACGTGACATAACGAGCGTATCGTGCAGCAGAATGCTATAAACATTCAAACCCTGTAAAAAAAATAACCATTTAAACAAATTTAATTATCAACCAAAAAAAATTAATAATAATTATTATTTACGCACAAATACGAAAACAAAGATCGAAAAGAGTTAAAAGATCGAGACTTACGATTGCAGGTAGTACATTGACGTAGTGCACATTTTGAGTAGCCAGCTTCAGCTTTTCATTAATCGAACCTCCATCAACAAGCAGAAGTTTCTTAGCATCTTCCATTTGATTCGCGTAGTTCACAATGTTCTTCGTCTTATGTGAAGGAACCTCCATATCATCGAAAATCAAAAGCTGTACATTTTCATCGTGTATTTTATTAGCACTTACGGAAAAATTCAAGAAAAGATCGGAATTGAAAAACTAACTCCAATTTTGTTTCCAGAAAAAAAAAATTGGCAAAATCGAAAATCAGAATTCTTGGAATTGGAGCGCGAAAAGGTTAAAAGGTTGTTCCAACTTCGGAGATTTTCGAATCGAAATACATAACATTAAGTGTAATTTTCAAGAAAAAAAAATCTGATTTTTTTGAAATATTTACGGAAGTTAAATCTGAATCTAATCTAATATGTCCAATTCCGTTCCAAAAAATTTCAGAAAAAACAGAAATCGGAACTTTGGGATTTCGGAAGGAAAATTATGTTCCTAATCGGAAATATTCAAATCGAAATTGGTGGAATTTGGTTCAAATTTTCAACCCCTAGCTAGTAGAGACGAACAATAACAAAATAACCGCATGAAAAAAACTGGAATAATAAGATGATGAGGTGGAATATACGTGCCTTGCCTTCTGCCGCACGAGCTGAAAGTGCAACTTTCAACCCTAGTCGACGAACTTTCTTGTTTAGCTTGATAGCATGACTTCGTGGCCTTGGACCGTGCATCGCACAACCACCCCTAAACTGTTGACCATTTAAAAAAATATTAGCTTAGAGAGCAATAAAAAGAGTTAATTGCATAGTACCCCATGTGACATAAATATTAGCACAAAAACCCCTACAATGCATTTGTGTAACACGCAACCCCCTAAATGGTGAGTTTCTGGGATAGTTTGCTAATAAAATTGAATCGTAGGGGGATTTTGCTAAAATTTATAACACGGTGATTCTTTTTTTTGACAATTAGGGTAAAAACAGGGTGCAAAATGCAATAAGCCCACAATTCAAAAAAAAAAGGAACAAAAATAAGAGCTTACCTGTGGGCCCCGCAGCGTTCCGTGCCTTGCTCGACCAGTACCCTTTTGCGGCCAAGGCTTTCTACCGGTCCCACTCACCTCGCTAAGATTTTTGGTCGAATGGGTACCCTGAGAATTATATATAAAAACACATTACTAAGTTGTAATTACAACATCAAAACATACAGCATAAAAACAAGAATATAATGAAAAAAAAAAAAAACCGAGTTAAGCGATAATCGAACCTGCTGCCTTTTAGCAAGCTGCCATCTTACAACACGGTGAATAATATCCTTCCTAATTGGGACATCGAAAACATCACCAGCCAATACCATGAACCCCTTGTCCTCGTTGGCAAAATTTGTAACAGGAATCACCAAATCCTGATAGAGACCTACGAAATAGATACAACAATTGATGAAACAAAAAGATTTCCGCAATTTTTCATATCTAAAATGTGAAGAAACACGCGTGTTTTTATACTCTCGACTAACCTATTTCACGCTCTGGAGCCAGCACGTGTTTTGAGGACAATAAATGAGAAGGGAATGCGCCTTCACTCGAATTTGGGGTCAAAATTGTTGTCGAATATTTCCGGTACACATCAAACGGCACCTAGCAAGTTATTTATAATTCAATTCCAACACTAAAAATAAAATCCCGTTGTTGTATTACTAAGTCGAAGCAATAATCTTAGGCCCCGTTTGGTTGGTAAGATAAGATTAGCCAAGATAAGATTAAATAATCTAATGAATCCCAATTATTTTATTGGAGCTTGAAACGTACAAAAAAAAACTCATTAGAAGGCAAGATAAGCCAAGATAAGCCATGATTATATAATTTTGGCGGGTCGACCCGGCAATTTATTGAGCATACCAAACATCAAATTAAGTCCAACTATTTAGTTAATCATGGCTTATCTTGGCAACCAAACGGGGCCTTAAGAAACGTGCTAATGCTTTATTTTAAGAATCTACCTTCCCAGGTACCAAAGACTGCAACGAAGGTAAGCTATCCCCAACACTGCCGTTGAAGTTCAACGCTGCTTCAAATTTTTAAATCAAAACCGAATAAATTTAGCAATCTCGAAAACAGTATTAATAACGAAATAGAAATGCATAAACCCTCCACTACAAAAAATTGCATACCATTACACAAAGAAGCTGGTCCGAACGAAAAATCGGACGATCGAAAAGCACGCAATACCCTTCTCGAAATCGACAATGCCATAGCAGATTGGAAATGCTATTCCACGATAGAATAAAATCACATTCTTTAATTCCCCCCTAATTTTCAGCTTCAAAAAGAAAATGTAAAAATAGAAATTAAGGCAAGTACGAAGAAATTAGCAAACTTTTTTAGCTACAAAAGATCACAATCACCATTACTGCGTCTCCAAATTTATGTGAAGCATCAGATTTCTCGTATATTCAGCAACACCAATGAAAAATATAAATAATAAGTAAATAAATAAAAATTTTACCTTTTTTTTTTCAATTTGAGAGTCGACAATTGAATTGCTGGATAGAGTGCGGGAATCAGTAACGGAGAATTTTGGAAGGCCTATAAAATCTGAGCTGTGTGGAACTGTAAAAAATGGAGGCTGAAAATGGAATCTGAAACCCTACACTACAACAATTAAAATAATACGGGTCGGGTTTGAATCATTAAATCGGAAATCCAACCCATATTATCCGGTTTATGTAAACAAAGTAGGGTAAATTACGGTAAACCCCTGAAGTAATATAAAATTACGAATAAACCCTTCTTGTTTGGGTAATTACAAGCATCCCCTAAACATATCTTATTTTTCAATTCTTCAATCAAAATACCTTCTCACATGCAATGATGCAAATGATAACTTTTCTTTTTTCTTTCAATTTTGTCCCTTATAATGGAATCTTAAACATAAACATAACACATGATCAGTCTCGATGCTGATCGATATTCGGGACTAAGGGAGTAAAAGGTGATTATTGAAGGTAACACAATCAAAAAGGGAGTGTTGTTGTGTGATTATGTGTGTGTCTAGTTGGCAATGCGTACAAGGTGCTTGATGTGTGGTCTGTGTGAGCATATATTCTTTCACTAAACTTTTCTCTTGCTTTTGTCTCCTGGTAGGATGCTGCCTCTTAGTGATGTGAAAACTATAGCTACTCACTTGGCATTGGTTTTGAATAGAAAAGTTTGTGGTCTTATTTTACGTTCGAGTTTTTACGTAGTTAGTGTCGAGAATTTTGAATCATTTTTCCTATTTACAGACCGTTCTTGCTGCTTCTATTCCCCCAGTTTACATCACTTGATTTGTTGTCCAGCAATTGCACTCTCTTCTCGTACCTCTGCAAACAAATTATTTGAATTGGGAACACTATATATATCCATAATACATACATGATTGCAGTATCTGAGTGTTATACTATTACAAATATATTTCTTGGTTTCTAGGATGTTGGAGCTAAGTTTTCGGAGCTGGTTAATTTAATCTGACAACAAGTTCTTGTGGAAGAGGAATGATGCATGAGTGATTGCTAGTGACTTTTGAAACCGTGTAGGAATGGAGTAAGCCAAGATCATCTTGCGAAATCCGAAACCGTAATCGACATTGTATTGACTGAATCTACTCCCATCTCTCCGCCTGGGCCTGGAGCCGCCCACACAAAAGCAGGCCTGAAAGGCGGCACGTCAGGCACCGCCATCATCCCTAATACCATCTGAAGAATAGCCTCTGTTTTAGGCCTCTCACCACCATTAGGATGTGAACACGCTAACCCGAGCAGAAGCAAACTTTCAGCTTCTTCAGCAATATAACCATCACCCAATCTTGAATCCACAGCTTCGAGTAATTTACCTTCCCTGTACATCATCCAAACCCAATCCACCAAGAATTGGAAACCCGCAATTCTTATTCCAGGTCGTTGACCGCATACTACTTCTAGAAGCACTGCTCCAAACGCATACACATCGGAGTATTTTGTGGCTTTCCCCGTTAGAAAACATTCTGGGGCGATGTACCCCATTGTGCCTACTATGCCCTCAGCCTCTAAATAAAATGTCTTGTCGTTTTCCAGAGCTCTTGCAAGGCCGAAATCGCCTAAACGGGCATTGAAGTCCGAGTCGAGCATGATGTTGCTGGCTTTCAGATCTCGGTGTACGACTTTTTGGTCGTACTCGTTGTGAAGATAATGAAGTGCAGAAGCCACTCCTGAAATGATTTTGTGACGGAGATTCCACTCTAAGGGCTCTTTTTCTGGCCCGACAAAGAGGTGCTGGTCTAGGCTTCCGTTTGGCATGTACTCGTATACGAGCAGCAGCTTCCCATTCTTGTGGCACCATCCTGTTTGTAACAAGTAAGTCAGTTCCTCTTGTTCGTTTTATTCGTTTTCATTTATTTCTATTTTATGCATCACTATCTTTTTATCGGTGTTTAATGCGTTAAATCCTACACTTAGACAGAGCATTTGACTGGTAGTCATAGTCGAACTACTGAAATGTATTCCGTAAATTGAGTTTTGATGTTTGTTATGTTCCTCCTCGAATCAAGAAGCGATAAGATGAAATCGTATGAATATTCTTACCAAGTAATTTGACGAGATGCTTGTGGCGGAGACGATTAATAATGGTGAGCTCGGCCAGGAAATCGTGCTGACCTTTGATACTCTCCCTGGAAAACCACTTGACCGCAATTTCCATCGTTTCTTCGACTAGAGTCCCTTTGTACACCACTCCGAATCCTCCCTGTCCAAGCTTGTTCTTCTCATCGAAATTGTTTGTTGACTTTTTTAGGTCCTTGAACTTGAACTCTCTGGGCATTCCAGGCAGAAGTCTCAGTGCCTCCACCAAGCCGCCATTCAAAGCCGCCACCCGATTCTTGTAGAAACGATATCCGAACCAGACTGCAGCCAATAGCAGCAGCAACATCACCACCAGTACAGCTGGCCCAGCCCCCCGCATTATGTTGACCGATTTAGTAATTTTCGTATTAGGATCAGAGAAGTGGTGCACATTCAAATTCCACCTCACCACACTGTACAATTGGGAAGCATTCCCATTGGAAGCCGAGAAGCCAAAGTACGAGTGCTGATTCACATGATCTCTCAGATTCAAATTGGCTGATAATATGGGGTATTCGGGCTTTGGTGGAGTCTCACCACGTAAATTTGCCTGTTCTGCGATATACACGTCGAGGACCATCTTAAAGCCGTCGTAATCCACCCAAATATTGTGAAACTTTGTGGTTCCGACGGGGGCGATTGTGATGTTATGTTGGGTCAAAGATTCCGTCTTTACGGATACGACACTGTTGACATCGATCCCGACATGATTGTCGTCCGGATCGAAGTGCTGCTTAAAAGTATCCAACTCCACCGCCACCAACTTGTTGCTGTCTCGATTATCCGTCATTGAATTTGTGAGGCCGAGAAACTGGCCGTTGCTGTTGGGCGGCAGGAGGAGGTCCGGTGCAATCACGAAAGCCAATCCTTCAGAGGTGTCGTTTTTTATCCTGAAAACATTGATCAGAAATGAAGTGTTGAAAGACGCCACCAGGACGGATGTAGGGCTGTTATTGTCGTTTTCTTCTTCCCATAGCCGGAAAGGCTGCTTGAGGAGGATTCTTGCTGAGTTGTAACTCATGGACATAGACGATTCGGAACTGGTATCTGGGGTCAACTGAAGGGCACCGTAATTGATAAGTGCAGGATCTATAACCTCGAATATGTCGTAGTACGTCTCATTAAAGGGACCACCGTATTCTTGGCTAAATGTTATAGGAGTTGCACTTTGGACAACATACGAGAAATAGTACAGAAGAAAGATGGCGATGATGACGACGAGGAGTCTTGGTGGTGTTTGTTTCCTCATTGTTCTTTCATGTGTGATATTTCTGGAAAATGGCTTCTTATTGCTCATTGTGAGAGTATGTTTAGTTGGTTATTGTTTTCTTGATTTTTTTTTTGGTCTAAAGTTTGAACATTCAACACGGTTTTTGTTTTGAGTCAATGTGTCACTCTCTTGCATTGCATTGCCTCGAATTTTCATGTCTCTGCGTTTACTTGTATTTAGGGGTGGCAATTTCTCAACTTGGACCGGATCCGATCCGGATTTTCATGTCTCTGCGGATTCAAATTCATTGTTGAGTTTTATTTGATAAATAATCGAAAAAAACGCATTCATTGAAAATCGAACTTGTGACCTCTAAATACATAAATCACTTCTAACCATCCAAGCACATTAACTTATTATAAAATATTTAACCATAATTGTATAAATATTGTTAATGCAAATATTAATTGCAACATTCATTATTATTAAATGGTATTAAATAAATTATTAACAAATTTAATAAAATAAAGTTTGAAAAATATAAAGAATTGCAGTTCAATACGCCAAACATCTATCATTAATTATATAATATTAGAAGTATTAATAAAATCCACAATTTAAAAATGTAAAGAATGCTCAATTAAATAAAAAAAAATGCATAACTTAATTCAAACTCACTTATGTTATTTAATCGATAGTGTGGCAAATCCAAATAAAAAATAAAATAATATGTTTATGTAGAAGAAGAAAAAATTATAACTCATTCCAATTAGTAGTTTTCTTACTTTAAAATAAAATTATATACTACAAATACTATATTGTGAATTTTCTTTTAATATTTAATTTAATCAACTAGTAAGATTTGAATCGATGAAGTGCAAAACCTTTCAATTAGTAAACATTATTCAAATATTTGAATCGGTTGCTTAACTATTGACATAACATGTTACAAAATTGATTTAACTATTTATAAGTAATGTCTAATATCTTTTTAATTCAATTTTGTCATAAAAACTAGTATTTCACCCGTGCGTTGCACGGATGTCAGTTTTGAATTGAGACAATAATAATAATACGGAAACAACTATCTCTTTATAAAACACGAATGCAAGTAAAACAAAATGGAAGGAAATAAAAAAAACATAAACTTTATCCCTTAATTTTGAGTTGTAACATGTGAAATTTAATTAAATATTACAAAGAAGAAAACGCGGAGCGCGCAAAACACGATATGAAGATTAAGTGAAATTATTTTAAACAGATGGTATAAATCTATTTCGTGGAATGCAATCTACTACACCATGTCAATCTTCTACAAAATAACTAACTTAACAACAAACACGGTAGTAGAGAAGTAACACAATAGATATTCAAATTAAATAACCTGCAAGTTTATTACAAATGACGTTAAATTAGTGATGCACATTACTCAAACAACAATACAACTTATAAATATTACAAAAGAGATACGATGTATACGTCATTATTGATACCAATGCTGATACCAATACGGATACCAATACTGATACCAATATTGATACTAATATCGATACTAATACTGATACTAATTAATATCGATACTAATACTAATACTAATACGAATAGTAATACTAATACTAATACTAATATACTGATACCAATACTATTACTAATCGTAATCCTACAAATACTAATACGAATACCAATACTAATGATACCAATATTAATATTAATATTAATACTAATGCTAATGCTAATACTAATACTAATACTAATACTAATACTAATACTAATACTAATACTAATACTAATACTAATACTAATATTAATATTAATATTAATACTGATATTGATACTGATATTCGTACTGATACTCGTACTAATACTCATACTTATATTGATACTGATATTAATATTAATAGTAATACTAATACTAATACTGACACTAAGACTAATATAATACCAATACTCATACCCATACTGATACTACTGCTAATACTAACAATAAGACTAATATTAATATTAATACTAATAATATTTCTAATACTAATACTAATACAAATACTAATACTAATATCAATACTAATGTTAATAATGATACATACTAATATCAATGCTAATGCTAATACTAATACTAATATTGATATTGATACCGATATTCGTACTGATACTCGTACTAATACTCATACTCATACTGTGATATTATACTAATACTAATACTAATACTTATACCCATACTAATACTAATACTAATACTAATACTAATACTAATACTAATACTAATATTAATACTAATATACTAATACTAATACTAATACTAATACTAATACTAATACTAATACTAATACTAATACTAATACTAATACTAATACTAATACTAATACTAATACTATTACTAATACTAATAGTAATACCAATACTAATACTAATACTAATACTAATACTAATACTAATATTAATACTAATACTAATACTAATACTAATACTAATATTAATACTAATACCAATACCAATACCAATAATAATACTAATACCAATACCAATAATACTACTAATAATAGTACTAATAATAATACTAATAATACTATTGATACTGATACTGATACTGATACTGATACTGATACTGATACTTATACTGATACTGATATTGATATTAATACTAATACTAATACTAATACTAATACTAATACTAATACGCATACTCATAC